CCCCCCCCCGCCCCTCCTCGCTGATTTGCTGACGCGCGGGCCTGTGCACGTGCAGTTCAATCCGATCCGGCCGCGGCCGACGATCTTCGGGTTCCTGGCGGATGAGGCCGGCTCGCAGAAGCTCGGCGGGCTGATCGACCCGCCGAGCGCCGACCCGCTGCTCCTGCTGCTGAAGCGCCTGCAGGACGACCTGTGCCTGGACGCGCGCGAGAGCCTGGACGAGCAGCAGTCCGTCATCGCGCAGATCAACAGCCTGGCGCGCTTCGCCAAGCGCGTGTCCGCCGCCCTCGATGGGCGCATCGCCCAGATGCGTGTCATTTCCGACAACCTCCGTGTCCGTGCGTGGACCCCCTTCCTTTTTCGGTTTTCTTTCTCCCCGGACCCGCATGCGGGCCTTCCTCCCCGGTGGCCCCGGCGTGGCTCATGTTCTCACCGTGTCCGTCCCCCCCCCCCCCCCCCCTCTGCCCCTTCTCCCTGGCCTTCGCCGGTGGTGGCATGCAGTCAATGACATCGGCCGCTCCATCGATGAGGCCACCCTGCAGGCGCGCCATGTGGTGAACACCTGCCAGCGCCTGCATGCGCGTCTGCCGGCTCACGTGCAGATGGACTCGATCGCCACGGCGTGTCCGTCCCTGCGGCCGCGCGCGCTGCCGGCCGCGCGGCCCGCCACCGGCGCGGCCCCCATCCAAATGGCCGGCAGCCCGCCGGCCTCGGGACCGGACGCCGCGGCCGGCCCCGCGCCCTATCCCGCCGACGAGAATACCGCCCTGCCGGCCTCGTCACTTCCCCTGCACCAGGGGAGCATGCTGGCCGAGCGCGCGAGCTTGGCCTCCGCCGACCCGATTGTCGATGCCGGGGCCGCTCCGGTGGCCACGGCCCCGATCGGCCTCTCGCCCCCCTCGGCAACGGTCCTGTCGGCGCCCGGGGCCTCGCCCATTGCCGGGGCCCCGGCCGGGGAATCCGATGACATTGTCTTTGCCGTGCGCCGGACCAAGCCCAAGAAGGAGCGCAAGGCCGGCACCGGGCGCAACGCCAAGCGCACTTCCACCTCCGGGGAGCCGGCGGAGGAGCCGGCGGAGGAGCCGGCAGAGGAGCCGGCGGAGGAGCTGGCGGAGGAGCAGACCGGCGAGCACGTCGACGCGCCGTCGGCCCAGGAGGCACCCCGGACAGAGGCCCAGGAGTAGGCCCGTCCGGCTTGCTCCGCCCCCCGTCCCCCCCCCCCCCCCCTCTCCCTCCGGTCGCCGTGCTCGCCCTTCGTGCGCCTGCTTTGTCCCTCCCCTCCCGCGCTGGCCGAGCGTTGCCTTTCTTGGGAAAAAATACACTGTCACCAGCACATGGCGCGCATTGTTGGGGAGAGTCAGGCGGAGGAGAAGCGCCCTCGTCGCCGTGGCAGACCTTGGCGGCCGATCGCCAGCTCCGAGATGCCAACGGAGGTGTCGTTTCTGCCCACGCAGCGGCCGGGGCGCCGGCCGGGGCTCGGCCCTGGGAGGCGATCGCCTCCCGGCCACACGAGTCGGGGGGGGGGGGGGGGGGGGGGGGGGGGGAGGGGGGCGGGGGGGGGGGGGGGCCGATGCGCAGGGCCTCATAGGGGATGTCCACG